GAAGGGGGGGGGGGGAGAATACAAAAACAACAAGAACAACAGAAAACAAAAGTGTGTATCTTATTCATATAAACTTTTACACAAGAGTTTCAGTAAAGGGTAACCATATTTTATTGCAATTATCCATACATAATCTACATCTGAAAGCAACTGCAACAATCCTCTGAGTAATTGGTGCCATAAATGTATCTTTCATATGTTGACAGACTAGCCTCTAATTGTCCAGCCATCTATTCCCATCTAACAGATATGTAGTTCAAAGGAATATGCATGCTCAAAAATATTAAACCCTGTCCCAGAGTCAAATACATGCAATTACTTCTTTCCAGAACGTAACAAGTTTACGGCATCATAAAAGCATGTGTTTTAATGAAGCATTATTCTCAATGCACCTCCAACCAGATGATAATTTACTCATTCCTTTTCTGAACAAATGACATATTTACAGGAATACTCCACAAAAAGGAAGAACTAATGAGTTGGTTTGTCTTATATGTTCAAAGTATGCAAATAAATCTACTGCCACCTAACAGATACATTCTAATATTTCAATCAGACCATAGCAATGGGTTACAAAGCCTTAATTCCTCTTAAAAGTTTGGAAGCCACTGCCATCAATAAAGACAGTGCTGAGTTAAATGGAAGCCCCTGATTCTGAGCTGTTTATGCATTGCACTAAACCATGATTTGTTTAACTGGCTGGGTTCATAGTATGCCAAATCATAAGCCAGGGTTACAGTCCACAATGACTAGGATGGTACAACATGTTGAGTCTAACCCAAGCAAACTACATTATGGCTTAGTGTGATCCATGATGCCAGCTGTATGTTGGTATGACCTAGAAAACATGGATTCAGGTTCCTCCTTGATGGAAGTATCCCAAACTCTGGGTAGAAAGTGTGGCTGTTGGTTTTTTGCAATTCTTTACTATGAAATCAACCAGGCTAGAGTGGTATTTCTCAAATAGATTTTGTTTAGGTCACTTTGTATGTGCTGATGTTTTACATTCAGCTAACAAAAGGAAACCTAGGCTTGTTCATGAATACTTTGGTAACATCCAGATTTTATTAATAGGTTATTATATCACCCAAGACTTAAAGCATTTGTACACACTTCCAATTTATGTTGAGACTCCATGCAAAATGCAGAGATAGTCTTAATAGCCTTCCCGACTTTAGTGTAAAGTAGCTCTTTGAATATACCTTAACTTGGAGGACGTGCAGCTGTATTATAAAGCACAGTAAAACAAGATGGTTTGGGAGCAGCAAAAAAAAGGGGGGGGGCTATTTGGCTATTCCTCCACACAGCCCTCCCCTTCAACTATTTCCCTCTGTAGGCAATTAAGCCGGGTTCACATTTCACACTAAGCCATCATTTCACTTGGTGTAGCATGATATGGAAATTCAGCCATTGTGGTTGCTAAACCATAATTGATGACTTAGCATTCTGTGTAAACCAGGCCACTTTAGCTGATTGAACATCCAGGCTTAAAAGAAAACCCTGTGGCTCAGTGTAAGAGGTGAACTTGGCCCAGACCAACACACAGCTTGTCTGGATCCGCTCACCGGGTTTGCATTGAGTCCTCAGGTTCAGCTGCAATTGCTCTCTATCACTAGTATAGAAGTAAGATTGTTCTGGCAAGCCAAGTAGCTTCTGTCTATGGAAGGTGAAGAGTGAACTGGCTGGTCCTTCATGTTTTATGAAAGCAGTGAAAAGGTCTTGAACCGGTTCTTTCTAGCCTGAAGAAACCAAGTTATTGAAGAAGATACAGCACTTGCCTTCACTGTGTCCAGCTCTGGTGCAGAAATTTTCTTCTATAATCATTTACTCTGGCTCTTATGCTTGCAGATTTGCATAGTGGCCAGGTTCCTGCAGCACACTTAACCCTAATCCCCAGTTAACACCATGCAACAGGTGTGTCCAGATAATGTAGCTTATTGTAGCTTAACATGATGGCCTGGATCACACAGGATGCTAAGATAATGTCTGTGAGTTCTCACAATACACAAACTGCCCAACTTGTTTTAGCCTAGTTTGGCATGTTGTATGAATTTAATCACTGCACTTATATCACTATTCCAGTTCCAGAGATTATTTAGAAGTTAGGAAAATTGGGTATAGTCTGATAGTGCTTAAACCTACATGCCTGCTTAAGTTTGCACCTCTGCTGAATTTGCATTTGGAGGATCAGGGTATTTGTTTAATAATTTTTTAGCTGTGTGTGTGCGCATGTGTTTTGCAGGCTGCTAGCTTCCTTGGGTGCCCAAGTGACCAACATATTTTAAAATAACTCTCTTGCACTCCCCTTCCTGCCTCCAGGTCAGGTTGTATCACACTTTCACACAGTCCTGGAGGTATGACCGATAGGACAGGAAAAGCAAAACAAAACACAACTCAGCAACAGTTGGTGACCTTAGTAGAAAAAAAAATATATTGTTAAATGATGGTAGCTTTGGTTGAAGGTGATTGAAAGGAGGTGAATGGATCAAATCTTCACTCTGCCCCAGAACCTGGTGCTTTCCAGATATGTTGAAAGTTTCCATCCATCTAGTTAAGAATTCTGGGAATTTCAGCCTGGGCACTTCTGGAGTTCACCAGTTTGGGGCAGGTTGCTCTACGAAGTCTGTTTCCGAAAGCATTTGCACCCCTGCAATGATTTTTACAAGACCTTTGCAGGAAATTTTCCTATGATTACGTCTCATGCACCAAAATGTCTATTACTAGCCCATGCAGGGACTCTGGCTGCATTTGCTTGTGAAATGGAAACTTATGTCAAAAAGGGTTGTTAACTTTCACCTAATGAATTCCTCCTGGGAGTTTCCTGGATGCCAGAAGGCACTGCAAATATAGCCTGTTGCTCTTGCAAAAACGGCACTCTTTCCTCTCTCCCAAGAAGTTCCCCCCCCAAAAAAAATTCCACCTGGGTTAGTTTATTTGGGAACAGCAGGCAAAACTCCCAAAGATTCTGTAACTGGAAGAGAGAGAGAAAGACCAGGTTGAATAGTACTGTAGCATCTGCCTTGTAGCCTTATAAACTTTCCTAGATAATAGGTGGAATGTGTTGTGATCACCTTGCTTAACAAAGTAGACATCTCATCTTTTGGTTTTTCATTTCAACATCACCGGTTTATCACAGTTGGCATAGCTGATTGGATATCCTGCAGGCCAGGTCTGCTTTCCTAAAATACCGTCACCTGTACCCTAAATACCAAAAAGTATGTTGAGCAAGACAAAGTAGGACATATTTCATGTTCCCAATTGCAAGAAGAATGCGTAGTTCCTTGTATATGCAGTTTATTGTACTGCTATCACATAAGACATGCAAAATAGCACAGCTATCCTGGCTCTTGAAGCATCTGTCCAGAAAGATACTCAAGAATGTCAAGATTCGAGCAACCAAGGGTCCCAGAAGGCCATGTCTCCGAGCCCAGTTTTTGCAGTTCCCTCTCCAATCGTGCTGCTGAATTTCAGCAATGTCATTGCTAAAAATTGGTGGCATGTTAATCTTTTTGAAGTTGAAAATCATGAATACTATAATACAGTGTTTCTCAACCTTGGCAACTTTAAGAGGCGTGGACTTCAACTCCCACAACTCCCTAGCCAGCCATGTTGTCTGGGGAATTCTGGGTGTTGAAGTCCACACCTCTTAAAGTTGCCAAGGTTGAGAAACATTGCTATAATGTAATTCATAAAATAGGCTTAATATAGTTTAAAAAAAAAAACCCTCACATTCCTAATCCACAACAAGTCTCCCTGTATGACATGGCCCAGCCCGTTCTGCAATTATGTCCTGGGTGTCCCCCTGCCTTGTTAAGTAAGAGTCCTCCTCAACAAAAGGTGGTCCATCTCCCCTCTCCAAACCAAAGATGTTTTAGGGTTGGAACAGTTTGCTTCATACCTGGAAATATTCAGGCTTTATTGTACAATATCTATATTTGCCAAAGGGTTAAACTGACCAGGACTCCAACTTGTGGCTGGAAAACACTGTACTATGTTTCCTGAGTTTTGATAGCTGCAGAGCACCTTATTTCTGAATTAAAACTGGAAGCATTTGGCTCCTGTGTCCAAAAATGGTAAAAATTATCCAATCACTCCCTGCATTCCTACATGCATGGACTGAAGCCCCAAAGGAGAGTTTATACAGAAGAGCAGAGAGGCAGACTTTAAAGATAAGCAAGGTTAGCCCAAGACATTATCTTAGTGATCACCACTTTTTGTCTTCGATGCTGAGGTCAACCCAAAACGGTTGACCCTTAGTTAAACAGTTGCTTGTTCTGAAATTGAGGGAGGATTATCAGAATCTGCAAGATTGGCAAATAATCACTTTAATATATAAATGACCCCTCTCTGCCATTAACTGGATCTTGGATATCATTCAGAATTGCTATTATTGGACTATATTGTATTTTAGAAACCACCTCCATATATATTCGTTCCTCAACATATACATTTAGTCACATTTTCAACTCTCAGTGTGCATAATTGAATAGCACTAACTAAGCTTTTCCAGCTACTCTGAAGCAAGAGAAGAAATCGTAGTGCATGGGTGGAGGAAGGAACACTTCAGCATACCGAGCTGTTCATGTAGCCCCGAGGCCAAGAATTGGCCTTATGTCTGAACAATCTGGTATTTCTTAATAACCTTCTGCTATCCACCCACATTTTTAAAAAAAAGAAAACCCAACTGTAACACAACATAATCCACTTCTTGCAAAATATAAAAGTCTTGATGGCCATTGCTGTAAATAAACATAATATGACAAAAGTTATCAACATCTAAAATGACAATAACTGGCAAGGATATCTGACATAAGCAATCTGGAATTCTTTGGAAATGCAGATACAGACTGGTGGTTTTATGATCATTGAATTCTTTGCTTTGTTTTTTTGATGGTTTGAACCCTGTGGCCAGCTCTCCCATTTGATAGAGTGAGGCAACTGCCTTAGGGAGATGATTTTGGCTGCCATAAAAGGGTAGCAAATACCTAATTTACTTAACTTTTATTTTCTTTTTTCCTGGCAGTAGGTAGGACATCCTGGTGACTGTGTTTAGTTTTGTATGTTATGCGCTATGGTGGGAAAGAAGGCATGTTCTGCTCTGTTTGAAGCCACAAATTATTTCAGTTGGTCCTATGCATGGAGCAATTTTCATCTTGCACCCCTCTTAACTTACCAACACTTTTCTGCATATAACCTTTTGCATATCTCCAGATAGAAGCTGCGTTCAGTCAGAGCTTATCCATCAACTCACTGTACGGTTTAATTCTTCTTCTTTTCTCTGTGAGCGCAGGGTCTTCTGACATGGAGGAAGCAGCTGCATAGAGCCTCAGTGATTCCATAAGAAGGCAAAGCAGAAGGTAAAATAACTCAGAAAACAGAAAGAGATGTAGGTTTAATGGTATGTGGGAATGACCTTGGGAGATAGGAAGGAGAGCTGCAGATTGGACAACTAGTGTGTAAAAGGTAGCCCACAGAAGGAGGGAGGGCATGGGAAACGTTTCAGAAGGGACCCTCCCTAGTTTTCCGGAGAGTAAAAGGAAAGGAGGGAAGAAATACTTTCAGTCTTACAAGATTCTGTTAATGTAACCTTATAATAAAGATGGAGCTAGTACTTCTGGTTGTACTTCTTGTCTGGACTACCTCGCAGGATATCTTACAAGTCTGAAAGTATTTCTCCCCTCCTTTCCTTTTACTCTCCGGATGTCCAGTGTGCGGCTCTCCCTCCTGTCTCCCAGGATCATTCCTACATGGCATTACAATAGGTGAGAAAGGGATTGGAAAATATTCAAACATTACAGGTAGTCCTCAACAGGACCATTCATTCAGCAACTGTTTCAACTTACGACGGCGCTGAATGAAGGGACTTATGAGCCGTACCCAAAGTTACAACCATTGCAGCACCCCCATGGTCACATAATCAAAATTTGGGTGCTTAGTAGCCTGCCCATACTTATGACCACAGAAGCACTTCAACTCCCCCACCTGCTTATCTCCCCCCATCTACGCCCTTTTGCTCCCTTGCTGCTCTGCCACCCCAGCTCTCCTTCACCATCTTCCTGCTCCCGCTGCTGATGAGGCAGCTGTGAAAAGAAAAGCCAAGAGCAACAAAGGCAAAGGGGGCCTCGGAGTGCAGGGTGGTGAGGGCGACTGGACTGGGGCAGCTGTGGCCTCCTGGGGCGTGGCAAGAAGCCCTAGAGCTGTGTGGTTCTGGGGCTACTTGCTGCCCACAAGGCAGGTTGCAGGGTGGCCAAAAAGGCAGAGATGGGGGGAGATAGGCAGGGGGGATTTGGAGACAGTCCCTTACCTTACTGAGGCTTGGGACTGGGAGGAACCAACCCTGGAATGCCTTGAATTGGGGTGGGTACTTGCTTAACAACCCATGATTCTCGGTTAACGACAGCAACACGGAGTGTTGGGATTGCAGTCGCTAAGCAATGCGGTCACATGACGTCTCGCTTTACAACTGCATTGCTTCACGATGGAAATTCTGGTTGCAATTGTGGTAGTACGTCGAGGGCTACCTGAACCTCTCTGTATGCTGCACTTAAAAAAAAAAAAAATCTCACTCCCAATTCCTAACAACTCTATGTGTGGTTTTGAAAGAAACCGAACTTTTTAACACCTATACAAGCAAGTCAAAAAGAACTCCATTTGGCATAATATCTATTTTATATAATTCTGCCATGCTTACGGTTCTTGTGATTTACCAACAACGGATGCTGAATTCAAGGCTCTGTGCGCCATATCAAAATTCTCTTCTACTCTTGATTACCATAAATCTTACGTAGCCATGTTTCCATCTTTTGACGGAGGCCCTGTGGCCCATTTTGCAGTGGGAAATGCTTGACAGTGATGGTAGAAACCTTATGTTTATTTATGTATTTATATGCCACTCCAATCATAACCAACTCTGAGCAGCTTACATACCCTGTTTGAAAAATACAGATTCCAAAATGTAAATAAATATGGCACAATTGGTCTAGTGGTCTAATGGTGAAGGCACCCAGCTAGAAACCTGGAGACGGTGAGTTTGAGTCCTGCCTTAGGCACAAAAGCTGGCTGGGGGACTTTGGGCCAGTCCCTCTCTCTCAGCCCAACCCATCTCACAGGGTTGTTGTGGGGAAAATAGGAGGAAGGAATACTAGGTCTGTTCACCACCTTGAGTTATTTATAAAAATAAGAAAGGCGGGATAAAAAGATACAGCACCAGAGAGAAATAAAATTCCGCATTCCTTAAACTCCCAATTACAGGAAGGAGAAGCTCAGAACATTCCCATCCCAAACGCTGTTGAAAAAGTCAGGTTTTGATGGCTTTTCTGACACCCAGCAGGGAAGGAGTTGTCTGGATCTCGGGGGGACTGCGATTCTGAAGGAGGCACTGACTGGAAAGGTCACCCTCCGAGGCCTCTGAAGACGGCAGTCTCTAAGCGAAGGAAAGTAAGGTTAACAAAGAAAGAAATGATTCCGAATTCTCCATCCTCAAATCATTTTGGGATGGGGAAAAGTAACAACAACAAATCCTGGCCCATATAGGTCTTACAGTCTCATCTGCTTTTTAACATCACATATCCTGCTGCCTTGGATCCCCCTCCCCTGTGTTAAATGTAGCTTCAAACCACCAAAAGGTTGCTTATCGCTGATTTAAATGTTAAATATCATGTGACGTTTCTGCCTGATGCTTTTGGAAGTGCAGTAGAATGAGGAACTTGGATTCCAGAAGTGTGATTATATTTAGCTCGGTTCTGAAGTGATGAAATCTCCCTGTAACAGGAAATATGGGAGGAACCAGGGCAAGAGACAGGGAGTAAAACCAAATTAACACACGCATACTCAGACACACGCATTCCCAGTTAAGCCAGATTTCTGAAATGCAATTTATGGGGTAGAGCGTGTCTGCCAGCCTAGAGCTGAACGTGGCATCTGTAGCTGTGCAAAAATCATACCCAGAAGAGACAAATAGATGCCAGAGGTGCCAGGATTCAGAATATGGCACTGAGAATTCTGATCCACATATATAGGTGCCAGTCTGTGGCACAATTCATACCTAATAGAAAGGCTTGGATGACAGAGGGAAGACTTGTCTATTAGAAGGGACAGATAAAGGACTATATTATATCCGGTTTGGGTGGCATTGCTATGCTATCTGATCCTATATGGAGCAATTTTCTCTGTGTTTTTCTCTTCCTATCAGGTCTCTTAGGGGTGGTGAGTCATGCTTGGAAAGAAACAAGGGCACTGCCAAACCATAAGCAACTACCATCAGCCCCCTCAAGATGTTGCAGTCCCACAGAGGATCAGTTCTCCTAAGGCAAGCGATATTAGCCTGGAGGTATTTAGCGGCTCTACCCCAGAGCTTAAACGCATCCGCAGGCCCAGGCGGGATAGAAGAGCCTATAAAGTTGATCCCAAAGATTCCCACGGAGGGGAAGGAGAGACAAACACCTTTATACCCAGACCTGCAGAAAGTCCCCCGCCCCCATGCTGTCCCAGTCTTTCCCAGGCCTGGAATACCTCCAAAGCAATCTTCTGCTGCCTCGTAACCTGCGGGAGCTGCTTCAAGGACTGTCGAGCCAGTATCTCATACAACGGTACCCTGACTGATGACGGGAAGAGCCAGGAGTGCAATGGACGTTCACCCAGCAGTCCTGCCAACACCTCCCCCAGTGAAAAGAATGGAAGCCGAACTGAGAAAAGCATAATGGGAAGCAGTTTTAGCTACCCTGATGTGAAATTGAAAGGGGTCCCGGTCCCGCTTTATCCGAATCGGGACCATGGCTCTATCACAGACTCTGATTCATGTTACAAGGAAACTTTGCCAGAAAAGATCCCCCAACACAGCATTGAGAAGCAGCCTGCTCCTACTAGCCACCGAAGCTCTGAGGAACATTATTCCTTCCATGAGTCCGATCTTGAGTTCGGTGAGCTGAATAGCTCCATGTCCAGTCGGGAGATTGATGGCCTAATCTTCAGAAAACTCACCGAGCTCTTCAGCGTCCACCAGATCGATGAGTTGGCCAAGTGTACATCAGACACGGTCTTCCTGGAGAAGACCAACAAGATCTCAGACCTCATCAACAGCATTACTCAGGACTACAATTTGGACGAGCAGGATGCTGAATGTAGGCTGGTCCGGGGCATCATACGCATCAGCACGCGCAAAAGCAGGGTCCGACCCCGGGTCCCTGCCCCAAATCTCCCAAGTTCAGGGGAGAACATAAGCCGAGGCAACCCACTTCACAGTGGCAACGAGACTATGCTGGCATCTGTCCTCACTACTGAAGAAGGTATGTATGAACTTCAGTTTTCGTGTAGAGAGCAAATGGTGAGAACATGTTACCAAACTGGGGGGAAGCCAAATAGACAGCAGGTGGGAGTGCCACATGTGGGGCAGTTTTGAGCATGTGTTGTGTGTGAAATAAGCCTCTGTCTTTCCCTTCTACCTCAATCATATCTCTGTAAGGCATATGAGTAGAAAAATGTCTCAGCATAGCCTTCCATGAAAAGTGACATCCTTTAGAAGTGTTGAGCTACAACTTCCATTGGACCCAACCGGCATAGCTGATGGGGAAGTTGTAGGGTGCTATTCTGGAGACGCCATTTATCTGAAGGGCAGCATTTTGAGAAAGGCTAAAGGAGGCGCATGACCAGGGGTGGGGCTAATCATGTACCCCCACCACATTTCTCACTGTCACACCCAGAGTTGCTGGGAGTCGGGCAGCATACAAATTTAATATATTATTATTGTATAAACAACAAT